TAAAATCTGATATGCATTTCACCCATACGGTACATCCCAATTTGGATTAGGCACATTAGAAGTGGTTAAGCTGGCCGGGTGAGGTGGTTCACGCCTGTAATCCTAGCACTCTGGGAGGCCGAGGCGGGCGGATTGCTCAAGGTCAGGAGTTCAAAACCAGCCTGAGCGAGACCCCGTCTCTACCATAAAAATAGAAAGAAATTAATTGGCCAACTAATATATATAATATAAAAATCAGCCGGGCATGGTGGCTTGTGCCTGTACTCCCAGCTACTCGGGAGGCTGAGGCAGGAGGATCGCTTGAGCCCAGGATTTGAGGTTGCTGTGAGCTAGGCTGACGCCACGGCACTCACTCTAGCCTGGGCAACAAAGCGAGACTCTGTCTCAAAAAAATAAATTAATTAATTAAAAAAAAAAAAAGAAGTGGTTAAGCACCTGTGGTACTGGACAGCACAGGTCTGGGCTCCTGCCTATCTGCTCTCACTCTTCACTTCGCCTAGAAGCAGGTCTTATTCCCCACTTCCTCTGAATGTTTCCTGCAATGTTTCCTCTCTCCACCATCTGGATCTTCCTGTAGGGCTCAGGGCAGGATACAGCCCTTGGAGAAGGAAGGCTTGAAAAGTTCTTAGCAAATCTTGGGTTACACAGGTCTGTGAGTGGCTTGCTTTCCTGCCTTACCTGTTCCTGTCTGTCTATGTTAAACTGAGACTTTGTATAATTTCCAATTCAAGGAGGCAGGACTTTGTATAACTTCCAGGAGGTCTTCAGTTGAGGCTTCAGATGAGGGGACGGTGAAGTGGGAAGGGGCCCCTTGCAATGCTGTCCTCCCACTCCCTTGCCTGGAGCAACTCTGCTGCTCTTTCCTCACCTGCAGCACAGTTGCCTTGGGCACAACCAGGAGGATGTCAGAGCCGCCATCTGCTTCCTCCAGGGTCACCAGTTCATCCATGGGCCTTGGCTCTCGGAACTGAAAAGGGGGGCTCTGCCCACACACGCGGCCTTGGCGACTCACGTATCGGAACTGGTAGAGCTGGGCTCCTGGTTTGGGCAGGTAGCTGGCTGTGGGAAAAACGGCCCCAAGAGCCCAGTATGATCCTAGGTCCTCAAGTTCTTAGCAGGTCCCCCTTTCCCTTAGTGTACCACATTATTCATTGTCCTTGGCTCAGCCCCTTGAGCCCTGTTTTCTCTCCTATCTACCTCCCACATACTATTTCTGTCCCTTGGGATACTCTTCTCCCTCCTTTCTGCCTAGCCCTCTCCTTCCTCTCCCAAATTTACTCTCCCTCAATCATAATCATAATAATGCTAGTTACCATTTACTGAATGCCTACCATGTACCAGACACTGTGCTAACAGCTTCATCTGGATCATTTTAAATCCTCTTAGTGTCCCTATAAGCCCTTTACTATTAAGATAACAGAAGCAGGGAGGTTATGTGAGGCCAATCAGCCTGTCAGTATTTTAGAGTTGAGATTTGAACCCAGGTTTTTCAGAATCTTACGACCATCCTCTTCTCAACACATAATGTTATTTTCCCTCTTCCCTACCCCCTAGTTCCATAATAGGAGTTCCTCCTCCTTTGGGTAGGATGTGGGACTAGATGCCCTCTAAAGTTCCTTCTAAGCCCCTGATTCTGTAATAATCCCATGATTCCACATCTGCTGGGCCCTGCTGCATATTCTTGTGTATTTATTTGCATTTATATTTCCTTGTCCTCTGTGCCTAACTTTTATGTTTCTGAGCCCAATACCTTCTTCCAAATCTCTACTCCCTTGGCTCTTCCCTCCCCATTTTCCATCTTCCCTTGTACCTTGGAACTGGACACTGGTGTGGATGGGGGAACCATCAGTTGTACTTTCAGGCACTGAAGACCACACAAAAGTGTGGTAATCCCGAACACAGGCGGCCTCCACCTGAGAAAGCCCAAGGTAGGAGAGGGCAATGATGACAGAACTACCACCTATGGATGGTGGAAAGGGCTGAGGGATTGAATGAGGGGGACAGGACAGAGCTACAGTGGCAATGATGGCAAGAGACAGGAAAAGGGGACGGACACGAATGTGTCAGGAGTAAGCAAGGCTAAGATGGGGAGAAGATGAGCTTTGCTTATACAGGTGGCCTCTATCATCTGTGACATCTTTCTCCCTTTTTCTCTAACCTGAGGTTGAGAATCTAAGAACCTAATCAATGATTCCCCTTAGTCCAACCAAACCATGGCCCATAAACCTAAACCAAAAATGGTTCCAGGGATACCTTGAAGATGCCAATCCAGTCACTGGCACTGGGCATGGTGCCTGGGGGAAGGGTATAGTGACATTCCACCTTGGTGTTGGGGATGTAGGTCCGGGCTACATTCAGAAAGTTGACTCCACCCCGGGATGGCGCCCGGCTTAATGACGATTCTTCCATTCTTTCTGCCCTTGAGATATCTGCTCTCCTATGAAAAAAAGTGTTGATAAGCTAAAGCCTCTCCACTCCACCTCCTTCCCCTTACATTATACCTCCACCCACTCACAGCCCCTGCCACTATGCCCAGAGATGAAGGCATACCTGGTTTCTATCCCCTGAGGGTTTTAGGACCTTTTAGAGGTATCACTCTTAGTCTGTAGGACATAGGTCTGGTTTTCCAAGTCAGTCCCCACCTTGTCTCACAATGTACCCTCTCTGGATCATAGACCCTTCTTAGAGTTCAGATCTAATTTTTGCTCTCTTTTCACTCCCCCATTGACCAACTAAATCTCAGTATCCCAGGCTCTGCTCCCTTCAGTCCCTTCTTTTCACCTCTTAATCTCCATGAGCATTCCAAATACTCCACCCTCCATTTCTCTGTCCCATCTCTCATATCTTCTGGCTCTTGAATTCAAAATCCAACTGAGATGTGGGGCCCTCTCATTCTGAGCAGGTCTCCTTACCTACTCCTAATCTTGTCGACTCAGCTGTACACAAGAGTGAATTATGATCCTGAGTTATGACCTCAACTAATCCCTGAAAGGAATGGTTGAGTTTTCAGAGCTGGAATATGGCTGGGGGGGTAGAGGGGGCAGAGACAACCAACAGCCCAATCTTCAGGCTCCTGAGGTCTCAGTCCTCTTCCCTTCTCTGAGCTGTCTACCCCTATGAATTCTAGAGAAGCAGAAAGCTTCTGCTCTCATCCAAGAGACAAGGGAAGGGGAGGATAAGGAAAGACAGGTTCTATCCCTCAACTTTATTATTCCAGGAAGTCAAGAATTCTGGAGGCGGCAGCTTCAAGGGTGGAGTGAAACATTTAGCAGGAACGTGGTGGTGTGGGGAGATGGAATGTGGGGGCCTGGAGCCAGGAAAGCCCCACCCCTGGGCAGGGAACAGACTGTAAAGTCGGAAATGGGGGGCCCCAAGAAGGGGAAATGTATATTTAGTGTTAAAACAAGGGAAAGATCAAAAAGAACCTAACATTCTTCTCTCCAGATTTTGTCTGCAGCAGGATTAGAAAACTGCCCATTTCACTGTTTTATTTCCTTTCTCGTTTTCTCTCTGCTTCCCTTAGCCTCAATTCTAAGTGTCTCAAGCTTCCCATTTGTTTGGGTTGGTAGTTGGAGACATGATATAGGATGAGGTTGAGAGGAAGGGGTGTTCCAAGTTAGCTGGGGAGAGTTAATTGGAAAATATGAGGGTTGGGTGAGGACAGATAATAATAAAAATCAAAAGAACTCCTCAGCCCAGGCCTGTCAGATGGCACTCTTATTCATCTCTCCTCTCCAGCCCACTATGCTTCCTGTGGCAGCAGCAGCTGATGTGTCTAATCAGCCATCACCACTAGTCATGTGCATGCCCCCAAACATCACAAATCCACATCAGGCTTAAGTCAGAGGGATAGGACCTTTAAAAGAAAACAGAAACTCAGTGGAGAAAGGTAGGCTAGCAATATAAAAAGTAGCAACTTCTCCCTCCAAAACAGAGATTGAAGACAAAAAATTTCTTTGGATTTTCATCTCTCTGAAAAACTCCTAGTTAAAACTAATCTATGTTTTCTCCAAATACAATTCTTCCAGTCTTCTAAGGGGGTGTGGGTGTGTATGAATTGTCCCCAAAGATCTAAGCCTAGAGAACCCTCAAATAAATACTGCCCACAAAGAAAATCCGTAACAGCTGTAAATATTCTCCATGCCTGAAAGTTCTGGGCACCTAAAGTGTAGGTGTGTAGACAGATTCAGATGTTCACATGGGGGAGAGGGTTTCCCACCCCCTACTCTGGGAGGCTCTAGAGTTCCTCGACATTCTACAACTTGGAAAGTTCCCTCGTCCCCCAGGGATTCAGCGTAGTGAAGGCCTTTGGATTCGGGCAGGGGACAGAAGGACAGTTTGTGGTGGCCAAGGCTTTCCCGAGACACAATAAGGAAAGATTTAAGCTCCTTCAAACTCCCCTAAGCGTATCAAGCTTTGCAAAGGTCTGAGAAGAAGACGAGGACAATGAGGAGGCATCCCCCCTGTTCAGGGCCCCCTTGAAACCAAGAACTCCCAAAACAGTGGGTCTGGCTTCTCCAGTACAGAAAGTGTTAAAGCCCAGACGCTCCTGTATCCCCCTTCTACAGTTCCCTTAGATCATCTTTTCACAGACTGGAAAGTGCAGTGACCCCTCTCGCATAAGATCGCCCCCAAATTAGGCCAAGTTTCTTACCCACAGACGGATCAGCTGTTCCCCTCACCTTTCACCAACAACAAAAACAGCACTCCGACTGCTGAGGGGAGGGAGAAGAGTGGCCGCGAGGCCTTCTGGGGCTTGTGGTTCTTCCGCGCGCTTTGCTGCCGGGTCTGGTGGGTCCTGGGACTACGCATCCCAGGAGGCCGCGCGCAGGGGGGGCGGAGACGAGGGCGCTCGTGGCGGCGGCCTCACTGCGGCATCCTGGGAGGCGTAGTTCTCGCCTCCATGACAGCAAACGAGGGTGTGGCCACCAAAGGACTTCACAGCCCATGATTCCTTAGGAGGCGGCCGGCAGCATTAGTGGTGACTGCTGGTTTGTAACGTGCATTGTTGGGGGATGGGGAGGATTTGCACCTCTAACGCCTTCTGTATAACGATTTACCGTGGGCAGAACGCTTTCTGGTTAGCCTTCTCCTTCACTTTTCCCAACCACGTGTGAGAAAAGTATTAGTGTTATCCACACTTTACGGAGGAAGAAACAAGCCCAGAACGATTAAGGAGCTGCTTAAAACTGTCAAAGTTATAAAATGGTAGAAGTGCTCTAGAGCTGTTTTTGTCGCTACCCCACAGCCAACCACAACTTGAGGACAGGACAACGGTTTCTTCCTTGCTTCAGTCTCGGAGATAGGCCTTGTAAAAACTATGTGTTCTGGGAGGCTGACCATTTTTTTAACTTGAGGAATTCAGTGGCAAGGGACCTGACAACATGACAGCACTCATACCTGGCCTGAACTTCCCTAGAGTGGCTTTGGGAGTCTAGGAAGAGGATGCTTTGCCGGAGGTGTTGGTGGGAGCGGTGGAATGAAAAGAATGAAGTTGAAAAGACAGCCTAGCATAATTCAGGACTTGTCACAATTCACAAACAAGCCACTTACGGGAGCCTGTTTGCCCAAGCCTTTTAACTGGCTTAATTAGAATAACAATACATGTTGTTGTTCCGGTTTTTATTTAGGTGAGATGAAAGATGGGCACTTCTCACACATCCCAAGTCACATTATAGACTTGGGCATCCTGTCCTCCTCTCCCCATCCTCCACCCCTCTAATCTGAGGCGTTCAATATTATCTCTCTCCCTGTCTCTATTAAGAAATTACAATCTAAGGATTGATTTCCTCCTCCCATGTACCTACTTTAGTTCTCTGCTGCACTAAGTTATGGAACCTCTGTCTTTTCCAAGTTTTGGGAGAGTGTTTCTTTTATGACTGCATGGGGTGTCTGCCCCTGGGTGCCTTTCTTTTGAAGATTTCTAGGCACTTAGCAATAAGTTACTGGGCTCTATAAACATTAAGGCAATGTGCCTGTGTCATTAGTCAGGATTTATGAGTTAGGGAACAAGCTTCTGGATGAGGACACGGCTCAAGGTCCTGGGATGGGATAAGAGTGAGGCTTGGGCTGGGCATGGTGGCTCACGCCTGTAATCCTAGCACTCTGGGAGGCCGAGGCAGGAGGATTGCTTAAGGGCAGGAGTTCGAAACAAGCCTGAGCAAGAGTGACACCCCGTCTCTACTAAAAAATAGAAAGAAATTAATTAGCCAACTAAAAATATATAGAAAAAATTAGCTGGGCATGGTGGCACATGCCTATAGTCCCAGCTACTCGGGAGGCTGAGGCAGTAGGATTGCTTGAGCCCAGGAGTTTGAGGTTGCTATGAGCTAGGCTGATGCCATGGCACCCTAGCCTGGGCAACAGAGTGAGACTCTGTCTCAAAAAAAAAAAAAAAAAAAAAAAAATTGAAGCTTGTTCAAAGACTGAAGTCTCAAGTGTTTTTGGTTTTGTCTTCCACCCAGAATGTGATATTAACTCCCATTGTTCTAAGGAATAGTGCTATTAATTAGCAGGAGACAAATTTCATTGAGCATTCATGTGCTCAGTACAAAGCACAAGGTAATGTAAAACAGAGTCATATTCAACAAATATATTTGTTAGGTTCTATGTTAGGTATTTGATAAATTTTATTGATAGAATAAATATAAAATATAGATATTTGAAGGATAGATTAAATTTGGATTGTTTGGCAGGATGGGCACTGGGAAGGGTTCAGCTTATTCTAGGCCAAACCAAAGATTCAGAGGTGAGAATAGATAATGTTTACTGGAGCCTAGAGGATCACATAAGAATAACATATCAATTTCAACTGTTTTTTTGTCATGAAAAGATTATTGGTAATGCCTGGAATATTGTGTTGAGAAGGATTCTGAGGAAAGAGTGGTGGGTAATGTCTGCCATGTATTTTGGATGGAAAATGGTAGTCGTAGATTGACTTATTGTTTGAAATTATTTCCTCTCTCCTTCCCTGCCCATTGCCATGTGACTTGAGTATCTTCTATAGAAGGAGTCTCATTAAATTTTCTTTGGGCTTGGTCATGTTTCATGATTTAGCTGGTGGGATGTGAGCATATGTGACTCATGCCCTGTTCGAGTATGTGAGTTTCCATTTCTTGTTCTTCCCTCCCACTAGAATGGGCATATTCCACATGAGGGTTGTTCCTTCTGCCCGGGTCCTGGAATAAGAAGACCAATGGAGCAGAGTGATAGCCTACCCACAACATATATATACATGTCAGAAATAAATATATGTTGTTGTAAGACATTGAGATTTAGGGGTTGGTTGTTATTGCAGCAGAGCTAATAGCCATAGTTGGATAATGGAAAATAAAGTTTGAAAGGTAAGTTTAAGCCAGAGTGAGGAGGATTTTGAATGCAAGGTGAATGCTATGTGTTTATGAGAACCTGTTTTTTTCTTTTTCTTGGACATACAACTGGACCACATTTTCAGCTTTTCCTTTAATCAATGTGTTGCACTTCCAGGTCTGGCCTATGAAACCTCCCAAAGATCCTTCATATTCTTTCTTTTCTGGCTTGAGGAAGATAACCTTGAGCACAGTGATCCTGAAGGCCACATGTGAAAGACAGTGGAGCCACAGGATGAAAGGAACTTGGTTCCCTGAGTCATTACTTGGCAGAGAGCTGCCTGCTAATCAGGATCCTGTGTTTTGGACTTCACTTGACCAATAAATCAATTTCTATTTTGTTATACCATTTGAAAGTTGTGGTTTATTTTTAGTGTTTTTCTAATCAGTATATCAGGTTAAAGGTTTGGACTTGATTCCCATCAGGAATGGGAAGTTAGTCACTGATGATTCTTCTGAACAAGGGGAATGATATTGTGAAGACAGGTGGAAGTTGCAGTTATAGTGATCAAATAATACTTCTGAGTGAGGTTGGAAGATTTGGAGACTGTTGGTTTTTTCAGAGTATAGGCTAACTTCTCATTCAGGGAGGGGGGATAATTGTCATGATTGTTGAAAGGCTCTCTAGAGCTGTGGAAGGAGCTGCTGAAAAGTGAATCCAATTTCCCTAGAGTTTTAAGTCTCTTTTCTCTTTTGTAAAAGTCCTAATTCTGGTAGTGCCTCATTTATCCTAGTGCTTGCTGCATAATAAATGTTGAATGGAAGCTGGTCCTGAACTCTTGAATGCTTTGAGGAGCTACTACCACTAGCTGAATGCCTGCTACTTGAGAGGTTTTCTTTCACTGAAGGAATCATCATGAGAACCATGCAAGGTGCTATCCAAATTTTACAGATGAAGAAACTGAGACTTTAAAAGTAACTCGCCCAAGGTCACTCAGATCAATCTTATTCTGAAACCCATACTTTTTCAATATAACAACATGCTTTCTAAGAAAACAATAATGGCTAGTATTTGCTGAATGTCTGCCATGTGCCAGGCACTCTGCTGGGTGCTTTACAAATACACAGAAGCAGCTCTATCAGATATTGTATGCTGTTACTAATGTCTCCACACTGTGAACTCTGTGGGAAGTGGGAAAAACATTAACATAATTTCAGGGAAGAATTGATGGGGGGGGCTTTTCTTTAAACACTCTGCCCATTTTCTTTTGTCCTCTTAGTTCTTTGGCTCCATTTACCTTGGGCTGGGTGGAAGGGTGGTTTAGAGTTCTCAGTAATTCTCAGGTCTGCAGCTCCTCCTTCACTCCATAAACCCACTCTAGTATTAAAGTGTTCAGATCATCTTAGTCCTTTATTAGCAGGGAACAAGATGTGGTCCTGATAACTCATCCATCCATTCATCCATGTTCATTCATTCATTTTTCATATTCATTAAACAGACTGTTTTTTTTTTTTTTTTTTAAGACAGAGTCTCACTTTGTTGCCCAGGCTAGAGTGAGTGCCGTGGAGTCAGCCTAGCTCACAGCAACCTCAAACTCCTGGGCTCAAGTGATCCTACTGCCTCAACCTCCCAAGTAGCTGGGACTACAAGGCATGCACAACCATGCCCGGCTAATTTTTTCTCTCTATATATTAGTTGGCCAATTAATTTCTTTCTATTTATAGTAGAGACGGGTGTCACTCTTGCTCAGGCTGATTTCGAACTCCTGACCTCAAGCAATCCGCCCACCTCGGCCTCCCAGAGTGCTAGGATTACAGGCGTGAGCCACTGCGCCCGGCCCTAAACAGACTTTTAATAAGCATTGTGGATCAACGGCTGGAATAATAGCCAGTGAACATTTGTAGCTTTCTAGTTTTTTTTTTTTTTTTTTTGAGACAGAGTCTCACTCTGTTGCCCAGGCTAGAGCGAGTGCCGTGGCGTCAGCCTGGCTCACAGCAACCTCAATCTCCGGGGCTCAGGGATCCTACTGCCTCAGCCTCCCGAGTAGCTGGGACTACAGGCATGTGCCACCATGCCCGGCTAATTTTTTGTATATATATATTTTAGTTGGTCAATTAATTTATTTCTTTTGGTAGAGACGGGTCTCGCTCAGGCTGGTTTTGAACTCCTGACCTTGAGCAATCCGCCCGCCTCGGCCTCCCAAGTGCTAGGATTATAGGCGTGAGCCACCACGCCCGGCCTTGTAGCTTTCTAGTTTTAAAGACTTTTTACATTCTTGGATTTCTTTGATCTTCACAACTAATACTGTGAAGTGGATCATATTATTATATAATTTTTATCAATGAAGAAAGCAAAGTTCAGAAATATTAAACAGCTTGACCAAAGTCACATAGCTAGTGTGAGATTTAACTCAAGAATTTCAGACTTCTGAGTGCTCTTCTGTGCCCTCTGCATCCATCACAGTCCAAATTCAACAGTGCTGAAAGCCTGGTTTCTTGCCATTTGGCCTCATTACCTTGATTCTTGTATTAGGGTAGCTATAACAGCTGCAACAGACAACCCCCAGATCTTAGGTCTTAATATGCTAGAGATTTATGTACCACATAAGTCTAATGTGGGTATTTGTGGCCAGGTGACTCAAGAATCCAGATTTGTTCATGCTGTGGATCTGCCATCTTAAATATGTGGCTTCAGGTTGCCCAGGTGTCATCCTGCCAGCAGATGGGGAAGAGTGAGCATGTGGAGAAGGCACCACCACTCTAAACTTTCACAGCGTGGAAGTAACACATCACTTCCACTTATATTCCATTGGTGAGAACCAGTTATACAGCCTCATCTCATTGCAAAGAGGCTGGAGATAGAATTTAGCCAAGTGCCCATTCCACTCTCTATAAACATAGGTTGAGTCAACATTCTAGAATTAGTAGGCCTGTCCTGGGAGAAAAAATACCTGAGAAGACTTTTAACCGATTCTAATTTGGTCACACACTCATATCTCTATTTGTCTCTCATTCATTCCACTGGAATTTACAGAGCACCAACATTGTGAGCCACACATAGCCAAAGACACCCTGCTAAAGACCAGATTGGAACCCAGCCAACCAAATGGTGGGGCCTTAGGCCATGTGCTGATTGGTTATGGAAGTTGTCCATTTCCCTAAAGATCGTGTTATTCATATAATTGTAGTTTTTCTTTATTTTTATATTCTATCGGTAAAAAAAGTTTGAAAATTTTTACCCTGTCATAAAATAAATAGCTGTGTGGTGATCACGAATTAAGTAGCTAATTTAATGTATTTTGCAGTTCTATCACCTTTCTGGCAGTTTCAAAATATTTCTCCCCAGGAAACGGTGGCTGGGCATGTCCCCTGTGCTTCTCTGGCCTCCACAGTGCAATGGGAATGGAGAGAGCCTCAGAACACAATAGGGAGGCAGCTCAGTCATCTTGCTGAGAACTGGCTTCATCTGCTGGAGAGAATGGAGCCAAGTGGATAGATACAAGAGATATTTAGAGGATGTATGGGAAGGATGAAGGAGAGGAAAGCAGAATATTTTGATTTTTAAAGTAGGCATTTTTTTTTTTTTTTTTTTGAGACAGAGTCTCACTTTGTTGCCCAGGCTAGAGTGAGTGCCGTGGCATCAGTCTAGCTCACAGCAACCTCAAACTCCTGGGCTCAAGCAATCCTCCTGCCTCAGCCTCCCGAGTAGCTGGGACTACAAGCATGTGCCACCATGCCCGGCTAATTTTTTTTTTTTTTTCTATATTAGTTGGCCAATCAATTTCTTTCTATTTATAGTATAGACGGGGTCTGCTCTTGCTCAGGCTGGTCTCGAACTCCTGACCTCGAGCAATCTGCCTGCCTCGGCCTCCCAGAGAGCTAGGATTACAGGCTTGAGCCACCGCGCCCGGCCTACAGTAGGCATTTTGATGCCTGTGCAAATGTGACCCTAAAAAATGTCATACTTTTATCTTTTAAAAAGAACACTTAAGTCTCTTAATATATGCAACAGATTTCCTGGTGCCACCTGGGGAGAAGAAAGAGTCATGTCTGATCCCAGGTTCCTGGCTTGGGCATCTGAGTGGATGGTAGTCCCTCCCTGAGGGGACCTTGGCAGAAAGAGCAGGTTTGGGGGTAGGCCTGGGCTGGGTTGGGATTGGGGGGAGCTTGTTCTACTTCTGGATAAAGAGGGTTTGAAGTACCTCTGAGTCTCCAGAAAGCCATTCCTTGCACTGTGGAGCCCAACCTTCCTGGACATCTTTATATAGTTCCAAACTTGCTTTTCAGGGAGAGGATGGAAGATGGTTTAGAAACTCAAGTGCTGGGAAGAACATAAGAGCCAATCATAGGTAAAGATTGTGTGTTTGTGTGTGTGTGTCTGTGTGTGCATGAATTAATACCAAGAGGAGCAGGGTTGGGATTGCAAAGGGAATAGATGTTCATCTGCATTGTCTGTAACATTTGCACATTAATTAGCTCAAATAAAAATGCATGGAGACATCTCCAAGTCTCAATCTCTCTCCTAATAGAGGAATCATTCTTAGCCTTTTTTTTTTTTTCCAATTGCATCCCTACAATCCCTAGTTCCTGTTGTGTAAGGTTGGGTTGGTCATACTTGAAAAGAAAATAAATGGTTGGCTTCCCTCTTGTTCATGGTGACTTTCTTTTGTGCCTGGGTCAGAGGTGTGGGGGATGGAATGGCTATTGAGGGGCCAGAGATTGGTCTCAGGGAGTGTCCTTGTCTTTTTCTATCTGGGTCCCTCTTTTTGTCTCTTTCCACTCACAGATTGTGTGGCATTTTGGAGGGTGGAGTGCCTGGGCACCTAGCCCACCACTTCCCGCCCCAATCTGGCCCTGGGCATAAGCCACATGGTGCTGGCCATCAGCCTGGCCTCTTGCCCATCTATTACAGCCTCAGCTGCCAGGCTGGCACAGGTACCAAAAGAACTAGCCTCTTCCCTCCCCCAATTCTGTTCCTGGAGCTGAAGCGGCAGAGAGTCAGATGGAGAGAGCACACGCTGGGGTGGGGGGCCCAGGCCAACATAGCTTGATGGTGGGATGTAGGTGTCTGAGCCTTAAGCAGTACTGCTGAGGCACTAGGCTGCAGTCCTTGGAGGAAGACCAGCTGCTTAGCCTGTGTATGGGCCGGGGCAGTGTCGGGAGGAGAAAGGAGTGGTTGCTATGGTGTGAAGGAAGCCTCCCACTAGGTTCTAGGAGATGTTTCCCCTCCTCCCTTGTGTCTACATCTGTGCAAAGTTGCAGACTTGCGTATGTTTCACACTGTGGCCATGTCCCTAGGTGGGAGTGTGGGCAGGGATTCCAGTACTGTGGGGAGGGGCCTTTAGCTATGTCCAGGCCGCACCAAGGTGGACTTGGAGTGAATACTGCATCTCAGGATGTATGTCTCTGTCCCATGTGGGAGTGTCATCTGTGAGTCTGCTGTTGGGGTATGGGAGAAGTATGTGCATGGGCGGAGGCATGGGACCTGTTAGTTCCCTGGTATGGACCAGCTGTATCTGCTACATGGAGCACATGTGTACCAAATACATATATACTTCCTGGTTGTGGACGACATGGACCCTCATTTCCGATGGCAGTGCAGACTGGATCTATGCGTGGGCAGTGAGGGATGGGGGTGAATGCCCAGCCTTGTTGAATGCTATGTCAGTGGGGAGTGCTGGTCCTGCCTTGTCTTTACACCCATGTGAATGGTATGTTCAAATGTGTGACTACCCCGGAGAGATGTTGGGTGGTGAGGGGGTGGGAAGCCTGAAAAAGATGGAGAATTTATGAGCTGCTTTTGTCGGGAGACAGTCGTAATGAAGAAAATTCAATTTTCTGCAGCTCGGAGAGTCAATATGTTAAATCTCGGAGAAGCTGTGGAGTGACAGCGGAATGGCAAAGTCAATGGGACGTGTGTGGGAGGGAAGCCGTCTATCTGTGTCTGCAGTGAGGCCGCCTCCTCTCTGTACCCTTGAACTGCAGCTGAGGGACAGGATGGTACCAGATACCTGAGTTCCTGGAACTTCTCCTCTCTCCCTTCCTCCTCCATCTCAACGGCCATGTTCTCTTGCCTCCTTCTTGTAGGGAAAAAGGCTTCCCTTTTTCAGGTTCAATTCTACCCTAGCACTACCTCATTGGGAAGTCCTTCTTGTAGTCTAGCCAGTACTTCCTCTTGCTGCAGTTACTAATTTCACAGTGGCTGTTTACAGCCTAAAGTGATTCATAGGGAAATTCTCTTTTCTTTCCAACTTTTCATTCCCACTCTCCCCTCAGCTTCTCTGTGGCTGGCCTCCTGTTTCCCAGCAAGTTTCAACTTTTTCCCTACCAGTCTTCACCTCTGCCTTCTAGCCTCCTGTTCCCAGAGGTAGACGTGTAGGGGGAGGTGGAGGGAGGGAAGCTGGGGATTCCTTTGTGAGCCACAGTGTCACCAGGAGCCGTGATTAGCCGAGCTGCTGGCTGTGTAATTGGCGTGTGCCCGCGTCCCCGGGGGTCTGCTATGTTAACAGCGGGTCCCTGTGGTGAGTAACGAGATCGTGCCCATGGCTGGTTGCACACGCTAATTAATTAGTGCTCCTCTGGTGTTGAGGAATGAGGAGGAGCTGGGGGAGGTTGTGGTGAGGGTGTCTCAAAGCCTGAGAGGCCAGCTCTTCAGAGCCCAGAGGTCACCTAAGGTCCTGTTGCAATGGGAGCATTCAGGCTGGAGTGCGGGATTAGGGGTCAGAGAGTGAAGGTCAGAGATATGGGGGTCCTGGCTAGAGAGAGGGCATGTGTGGAGTACAGCTGCTTGGTTGTGGGTGTCCTGGCCGCCTGGGCTGGGTGGAGGCAGATTGAGGGGATGACACCCCCTCCCCACATCTAAGGGAGGTCTCCAGGCTCAGGGCCTGTCTTACAGCATCCTTTCTCCAGATGGCCCAGAGAGGAAGGGAGTGGAATGGGAAGGAGGCATTTCAGACTCATTCCTGTTCCCTGTCCCCTCCCTCATCTTACCACCCGGCTTCTCAACTAGCCATTTCACACTTACTGTACACTCAGTGTGCGTACAGAGCTCCACAGGGCTTTCAGACCACACTCATCTTAATAATCACTGCATCTCTCTTGCGGCCCATACAGATACCCAGACTCCTCGACCCTGGAGTTGACCTTGGAGTTCAGAAGCCTCTTCTGAAACTTGGGATCTAGAACCCAGTTATTTGGGAGAAATACTATGGAAAACCTGAAAAAGTGGGGAGAGGAGAGACGGTTGGGAGGGAGCCCCACAATCTCTCAGGACAGTATGATCACTTGTAGCAGCAAGAAAGATTAAGGTGAGAAGAGAGGAAGAACTTCCAGTGAGCAGAGCACTCTGCGTCTTATTTCCTGAGGCAGAAATCCTATGCCTGAGGTTGAGAGGGGTCAGGATGAAAAGGGACCCCTAGAAGAAAATGTCTTCCCCTTGAGTTTTGGGATTTAGCAAAGTGTGGCGGGGGGGTGGGGGGCAGCAGGAGACGAAATAGAGAAAACAGGCAGAAAATAAGATGAGACTGCGGCAAGGAATCTTTGGTTTCCATGTGGAGGCGCGAGTCCCGTTCCCGCACACGGTAATTGCTAAATTACCCGCCATCTGCTCCGCTCTCAGCCATAAATTACCTGCGAGGAGAAAAGACGCAGAGGCGGCGCACTTTCCTTCCTCTCCCCCAACCCGCGCAAGGAGGCGAGGGGAGAGTCTTCCAGCGGGGGTGGAGGCAGGGTGGTGGGTCGCCCTGATGGGAACAGTTGGCCTCTGTCTTTCCCTGAGGCCAGTGGCCTAGCGTGACCGAGAAACCTGGTCCTCCCAAGGTCCCAGGGCTGGGACCCTTCGGACTTGGGGCGGGGCCGGGCTGCGGGGCCAGGCCGAGCCTCTGGGGCCACTTAGGGGGAGGCGGGGCCCGCCGTGGTGGGCGGGGCTTCCCTCAGGTGTGACTGATTGCCCAGGCAGGTTTCCCCTGGTCACCCTCTTCCTTGTCCCCTCTCCCTGCAGCCACCGCTTTGCTTATGGGGCGGTGTCTCTTCAGCTCTCCTTGACACTTGTCCCAGTATCCGAGAAAGAGGAGAAAGAGGAGAGGAGGGCAGGCAGAGGGCAGGAGGAAAGGGGCAAACCTCCTTGCTTTCATTCTCCTCTGAAACTCGCCCTTTCCCCTCTAGATTCCAAAGGGTGGCAGAGGTGTGAAAGCAGACGTGGGAGAAATGACTTGAAACGGGGCACAATGGTAGGAAGCAGCAGGTGCAGAGATGGAGGTAACGGGAAAGTGGAGCCCACAGCGAGGTGCGGTTGTCTGGGGAGGGGGGTAGGCAGGGCGAGGTGGGGAGGTGAGCAGAGTGGAAAGTAGCTAGGAAGAGGGGGTCAGACGGATGCGGGTCCAGCAGGGCGGGGTGGGGGTGGAGTGACCGAGCAGGTGCAGGAGGATGGAGCCACAGAGAGACAGCGCAGGGGAGGAGGAAGAACCAGGATGGGGCAATGCCAGATGGAAACTCCGAGATGGGAAGGGTGGTGGGTTGTGGGGATGGAAAGCTGGAGGAGGACCACAGAGGGAGCGAGGGGCAGACAGCAAGACGTTCAGAAGCAGTTCAGGCCCTGGAGGGACGGTAGGGAGCAAAGGCTGTGGCGGGGAAGGCTGGGGTGTGTGTGGGCCCTTGCAGGGTCCCAGGAAGGTGAAGGCGAGAGCCCCAGGACCACTCTGAGGCTGGGGCCTGACTCTGGAGGGGAGCTGAGGAGACCACCTAAGCAGCAGGGATGGGGGCGCCACCCTTCCTCACCCCAGCTCAAGGCACCTGCAGGGGTGTGCCCATGGGGAGGGGAAGGGCTGGGCCGAGTCCCAGCTCTGAGCGCAGGAGCTAGTGGGGTTTCTTCGGAGCGATTGTTTAGTATTCATGGGGCGACGCAATCTCTCCCACATCTGCTTAGCACAGCAAGTCCTGTCATATAACTGTCTCCCGCACTGTCTGTCCATAAAGAATGTCTCGGAATTGGTGTAATTCAGAGAAATTAATGACGACTTTCCGCGGGACGGCTCCCTGGGGGATGATTAACACTTCATCGTCCATCTGATGCGCGGGGCCCAGCGCTCCATCGCGAACATTTGGGCCGTGGCCAGCCGCATTAAAGGTTATTACGGAAAACGCGACCTGCAAACGGGCGAGAGGCATGATGGACCAGGAGGGGCGGGGGCCAAGGGCGGGGGCGGGGGAGTCGACCGAGCTGGCCAAGTCCGAGATCAAGTTTCCCGAGGTGTGCTCACCTGGGGGGTCAGAGACTGAAGGAGCCTGGGTTCCTGTTTCAGCGACCGCAGGACGGGGAGGGCGTTGGAAAGCTGCTCCGCCCCCACCTCCGTGCAGGGGCTAGGGAAGGGAATGGGGTCGCTTTTCACGGGTGGGCACATTGCTGATGGAGGCTTTCCCTGTCTTTTAATTCTCACAGCATTATTGGGTAAGTTTTATTAACCTCACCTTACAGGTGATGAAACTGAGGCTCAGAGAGGTTATGTAATGTGCCCAAGGTAACACAGCTTATTGAGAGACAAAGGAAGGATTTGAACTCAGGTCTTTGGGTCCTGAGCTTTTGCTGTTTCCACCACACCATGGAGCAGAAGGTTTTTATTCATTTAAGTGTTTGCCTCAGTTTCCTGCTCAGGGGGTGGCAGATAAGTTTGCAGATAAGTTTGAAATGTTTGTCATATGAATGAATGAGTTACCTTTGCACGTCCCATTGCCATGGTCTGGACCAGAGTCCTAGAGAGTCTGGTGGCAGCAGACTATCTGGCAAGAGGGTTCAGTTTTGGCTAAGAAACTCAAAACAGGTTTCCTGCAGGGGTCCATGCCTCTCCCTGGACATTCTAAACCTCCAGAATCTAGAAGCCTCAACTCTTGATCCTTAGCAGAAAGGAATAGAGGCAGGTGTGCATATGTGTGCACATACAAGTGTGTTCATGAGTGTATGGGTATGTGCAAGTTTGTGTGTGCATGCATGTCTGAAATGTATCAGTTTATGAGTATGTGTTGCATGTGACGCATGGCTGTGTGTACATATGTATTTGAGGGTACGTGTTGGTGTGTGTGTGAGTGTGCATGTGTGCAGGTGAATGTGTGCATGTGGTGTGCCAGGGGAGCCTGAAGACTCAGCTGGAGATGTCTTTGATTTGCCTGACTCTCTAGCAGGTTCCAGGATGTGGTATGTGGTGGGGCTGAGGTGGGAGACCAGGACAGGAAGGCTCTTTCTATTTGGGGTTAGGGGGCTGGGGAGCCTAAGCAGTGGGTACCTTTGCCCTGCCAGGCACTGGGGTATAGCGTCAGGGTCCCGGTTCTGAGGCTGGGTGCAGGCTATGTCCCGAGGCCTTTACTTGGGGCTTTAATTGGAAGTGCTGGAAAGTCCTGCTCTGACCTGGGAGGGTGATGAAGAGGTGGGGCTAGGGCAGGACAGTGCCCAACAGTGGAGGGTTCAGGCCTATTCATTTCTTACCCCCTGCTGCCCCCCAGGTTTTGGGAATCAGCTTCTAACCAGGCTGCTGCAATGCCTAACTCTAGACTTACCTACTCCACCTTAGGGCAGTAGAGTCCCTAAAAGTCTGTATGTGTAACTTCCTGATTCTAGGAGGACTACAACCATGGTGAAAACATCTCTCCTTCTCTAATTGGCACTACCTAGAGGGCCAAAATAATTTCTTCCTCTCTTGGAGTCCATTGGCAAGGCCATGTATGTATTCCTACTGAGTTTCAGAGGTTTTCAGGCCACTTGTGCTGGGCAGTTCTTCCTTAAGTCTAACTTCAGATCCTTTTGTCACATTTGTTGCCCAGTAAGCCCAGGCTAAGTTTGTGAAATTGGAACCTTGACCGCCCCCCCCCCCCCCCCCCCCCCCCCCCCGTCCCCTGCCCCAGCATGGGAGTAGTTTCTTCTGGATAGGGGAGTGCATCTGGAGTATAGAGACACACAGAAAATGCAAGACTAAAGCCTGGCAGATTACAAATGAGTCAGATCATTCTTGAGAAGATGGTGATAATAAGTAGGTCAGTTTCAGAAAAAGGAGCTCAGAGACCATCAGTTTCAACACTCTTACTTTACAGACAGGAGCCAGAGTCCTCAGTGGTGGGAAGACTCACCCAGTGTCCCCTGTTACATGGGAGCTGTCTCTGAAAAACCCAGGCCCCTGACTTCTGGTAGGAGTCCTTCTTGTGCCCCATTTAGAGGACCCCAGATTCTCTTCCTATTCTCTTGGCTTTGTGCAGGTGGGAGAGAGGGAGAAATACTTTCAGCTAGGCTAGGGGACTTCTCCTTCCTCTTACTAAAGCCTGCAGTGACTCTTTCCCAGCCTTCTCAGCTGGGCCTTGAGGCCTGTCACCCACCACACTTGTTCCTCCAACTCCCCATTCTCCCTCCACAAGATCCCTGGGTCTCTTAGCTCCACCTGGGTAGCCAGCCTGGTATTCAGCCAATCTCCTGCCTTCGCCTATCTCATATAGTCTGTCTGCAGCCTGAACCATCTTCTCTCCTCCTCTTCCTCCAGGCCAGCCTCTCATACCTTTGCAATATTGCCCCATACTCTCCTCTTCTAGGACGCCCTCCTTGATTAATCCTGTTTCTGGATCCTAAATTTCCCTTTCTAAATCACTGCCAAAGTATCTGCAGGCCTCTTCTGGTTCTTCTCTTTCCTGGCCCTGTGTGCTGGCACCTCCCCATGAGCAGGGCTGTGTTTTCTTCTCCTTCTGGATCTGCCCCCTGTCTTTTCTTCTTTCTCCCAAGACCCCTCTCTATGCACCAGGAGAACCAGTACTGCAGTGGAGAACTGACTGAATCCTTATCCTTTTTATGTTTTCTGGGAATGGCAGGGATGGTGACATCCAACTGGGTCTCACACTGAGGAGGGAAGTGATGTTGCAGACCTGACCTTATCCCGGTGGGTTACTCTGGTTTAGGCCTCACCCCCAGCTCCTGGTGCTCCTCCTGCTCTGGCTGCCTCTGGCCCAGTTAACAGTCCTCTCCTGGCCCATCCTCTAGGCTGCTGCAGTGGAGACCCTAGGATGCTGGGCCTGGTGTGGGGAGTGGCAGGCAGCTCCACTGCGATGTCTCACCTGGGGCACTTAGCCCAGGAGACTGCCTATTCCCCACTCTAGCCCTTCACACTCATTTTCTGGTGCAGGTTTCCTTGCACCCTCCCTTTCCTTCTCCCACCCAATCCTCACCCAGCCCTTTTATCTCCAAAGCCTGAATCCTTCCAGAAATCTCCTTTCCTGAGACCCTTGGAGTTGGCATCCCCAAGGTGGGAGGGGGTGAGCGGGCAAGTGGAGACTAGGTGGAGGCCATTGGCCCTAGTGAGGCACCAGGCTTGGCTTTGGACCAATGGATGCATTGCCCGCCACCTTGTGGCAGATGTGGAGAACTGCAGGGTTGGGATCTTTGTGCTGAGACTGGGAGCTCTTGGGAAAGTAGGTGGAGTGGGGATGATGGCAGGGGTGTGCATTTTGAAGGTGGTGGGCCTCACATTTCCTAATTGACGTTGGAGGTTTCCTCAATGAGCCTTTGAATTCTTCACTGACAGGGGAGTAGAAACCTGGGAGGGAAGCCAAGTAGCAAGGATACTTCTAGATGGAGAGGGATAATTGAAACTGTCCTCAAGTTTCAAACCTGTTGTTGTAATCCACCCCCTGCCCCTAATAAAAAGCTTAAAAGGAAACAGTCTGAAACTGAAGCATGAGGCGTTGAGGTCTGATCTGCAGAAGAAGTTGCTAACAGTCCCAAAGTGATTTGGATGCTACTGCTTCTGACTGTCGCCTAGTTTTTTCATAGCCTTCCTCCCCTGCCTCCATCAGTTAGTTCCCCCATCTTTTACAGGTTCCTTACTCTCTTCATTCTCTGTTCACTGGGCCTATCCAGAAAATCCCAGGTCCCTTAGCCTTCCTATCCCCACCTGAGGTTTTTTTTTTGAGATAGAGTCTCACTCTGTTGCCTGGGCTAGAGTGCCATGGCATCAGCCTAGCTCACAGCAACCTCAAACCCCTGGGCTCAAGCAATCCTTCTGCCTCAGCCTCCCGAGTAGCTGGGACTACAGGCATGCGCCACCATGCCCGGCTAATTTTTTCTATATATATTTTAGTTGGCCAATTAATTTCTTTCTATTTACAGTAGAGATAGGGTCTCACTCTTGCTCAGGCTGGTTTCGAACTCCTGACCTCGAGTGATCCACCTGCCTCGGCCACCCAGAGTGCTAGGATTACAGGCATGAGCCACCGCGTGCGACCCCCGCCTGAGTTTTGCCTATGATTAAGATGCTGATCTGGGAAGTCCCTTCTCTGATCTAACTCTAGTCCTTCCTGTAGCACTGGAAATGGAGAGACCACCAGTTAGCAGGGTTGCAGATGAGAAATTGGCATCCTAAGAAAGTGGGGAAGATGGCCAGAGAAAGGTACCTATAAGGAAGGTTCTGAGGGAGGGTAGCCCTGCCTAATTTCTCCTTTCATCCTCCTCTCCCCTGCCCCTTTGGATCCTTGGAGATGAAGGGAATGGGACAGTGTTCCAGTTCACTGGGGAATTCTCTCCACTTGCTCCATGATTTACAGGTGCTGGGGGAAAGGGGAACCTCTGAGCTCTGATCATGGGCCTTGTTATTCTCTTCTGTAGAGTGGGTATTGTGGGAAAGGAAGATGGGGATGTTTCAATCTTCCTGGGTCCTCCTGGTCTCACTTAGAGTCACTTTGAAGCCCTTTTCTTTCTTTCTGCCTAAATCCCAGGCCCTCAGAAGCTCTCATAATGATTCTTGGAGCTCCTATATCACCCTCCACCTCCACTTTGGTCCAGCCCCCTTCCCTGGTGAGCTAAGAGTCACTGAATCTCCCTGCCATTCTCCCTCTGCTTCCCCTGGCACTTCTTGGGGATCCTGGCCAGGAGCCCTGGCTCTGCAGGCCCCAGCGCCCTCCCTCTGAGGTGCCATTCCTCCCCTGCCTCATTTGCTGCCGCTGACCTTACTGAGTTAAATTAAAAAGCAATGTTCTGTGTGCAGCTCCAGCCCCGTGGAGCTTGACTCTGGGAAGACGAAGACAATTACTGGCCCCTCCGTCTCCCTCTCGTCTGGCTGCCTTATAATTTTTCCCCCTGCTGCCTGGTATGCAACATTTATG